CCTTCAACTCTTCCTTGCTAAGGGTCGAGATCACAAGCGTGTTCAGGTCCACGGTAGCTTCTTTTACCATCGCCTCCTTCTCTGGTCCGAAAGGCATGCCCTCCAGGACGTCGAGTCGTTTCGCAAATTCGACGGCCTCGCGCTGGACTCTATGCGCTTCCTCGCCAGTGTATGCAACGATCCGCCTGATCCCTTTCGCAATACCACTCTCCTCTACAATGACAAGGTCCTTTATGATACCTGTCTGATCGACATGCGTACCCCCACAGAACTCGACGCTGACCTTGGTCCACTCTGGATTTTCGGGTGTCTCAAGTAGCATGTCCACGTCGATACCGACAGACACAACCCGGACAGGATTGGGGTAAGTCTCGCCAAAGACGGCTCGAAGACCGTTGATCTTTTTGGCCAGGTCCAATTCGACTTCCTTCGAATAGATCTTGCAGTTCTGTTTAATGTAGTCATTTGACAGCTTCTCAATCTTCGTAAGCTCGGGAATAGTGACTCCAGATTTGTGCGACTAGACCAATCTATCAGTTTCTTGTAAACGAACAATTTTACTCTGAACGCTACGGCATGACATACGAAATCAAATCTGAGCTTATCCTGGTCAACGAGAGATCCCTTCTGGTTGACCTCATCGCCCAGAACTTCTCTCAGCGAGTGATTGAGGATATGGGTTCCGGTATGGTTGTTACGAATGGGCTGGCGTCTGAGTTCATCGTATTCGCAGATGACGCTGTCACCAGCCTTCAGTTCACCGTACTTCAGGTATCCGTTATGTAAGATGTAGCCGCCGAATTGTTGAACGTCCTGCACTTCGAATTCGGCAACATCATCAATGACTATCCTTCCGGTGTCTGTGACCTGGCCACCTTGCTCAGCATAAAAGTTTGTCCTGTCAAGTAAAAGTCCGAATGGCGTGTTCTCGGGCAGGTCCTTTGTTGATTTGATGAACTCGGTTCCTGTGTAGATCAACTGAACCTTGCCAGTTGTGTCGCCCTTGAAAAATTTTGGCTCGTCATCTGGTATGGGCACTTGGAGTTGATCTTTGAGCTCGGCGAGTTGATGAACATTCAGCTTGGCGAAAGTCTGAACCTTCTCCTTGACAGCTTTGCTAGCTTCGCGAGCCTTGTCCCGGGCGTCTGCGATCTCTTTTTCGTCCATGGACAAGCCTCTCTCTTCGGCCATAAGTCGAGTGAGATCCTCTGGGAAGCCAAAAGTGTCGTATAACCGCCAAACGTCTGCGCCGGATAGTTTCTTAGTTCCATTAGTCGAAGCGACCGAAGCGTATTTCTCGAACTGCTTCTCTCCTCGATCCAACGTCCTGGCAAAGGCCTCCTCTTCTTCGTCCAGCAGCTCCTTCACGTCCTGCTGTTTCTTGACTATCTCCGGAAACTGCGCACCCATCTGATCTACCAGCGCGGGCAAGATTTGGGAGAAGAAAGAACCAATCTCGGCGTTGAAATATTTTCTTGCATATCGAGCACCTCTCCGAAGCACACGACGCACGACATAACCTCTTCCCTCGTTGTTTGGTACAGCGCCATCAGATATAGCAAAGGTAAGTAGACGAATGTGATCAGCAACAACACGATAGGCAGTATCGATGCCATCAACATCGTCTTTTCCGTACTTGTCGGTATATGGTCGGGCGCCAGTGACTTCCTGGATTTTGTCGAAGAGAGGGGTGAAAATGTCGGTAGCGTAATTAGAAATCTTGTCCTGAAGCGCAGACACTAACCGCTCGAATCCCATGCCGGTATCGATGTGTTTGGCAGGTAGTGACTTAAGCGAGCGGTCCTTTTGGCGATCAAACTGCATGAAGACATTGTTCCAGACCTCTACAACCAATGGGTCGTCAGCATTGACGAGGTGGGCAGCGTTTCTGCCGCCAACCTTGTCGTAGTGTATCTCACTACAGGGACCACAAGGGCCTTGGTCACCCATCTCCCAGAAGTTGTCCTTCATATTGCCGGGTAATATGTGATCCTCGGGAACACCGACATTCTTCCATAGTTCTTTGGCCTCCAGATCGGGCTCGAGATTGAGGGCAGCGTCACCCTCGAAGTAGGTGACGTAAAGTCGGGTGGGATCGAGGCCATAGACCTTGGTAAGGAGCTCCCAAGACCACTCGATCGCTTCTTTCTTGAAGTAGTCGCCAAAGGACCAGTTGCCCAACATCTCAAAGAAGGTGTGGTGGTAGCTGTCCTTGCCGACATCGTCGAGATCGTTGTGCTTGCCACCAGCTCGGATACACTTTTGAGAATCGGCGGCGCGTTTCAACTTGGACATGCTGTCGCTGGAGGCAATGGTGCCGAGAAATATAGGCTTGAATTGGTTCATACCAGCATTGGTGAAGAGGAGCGTGGGGTCATTGTGAGGGACGACGGACCCGGAGGGCACTAGACGACAAGAGTCTGTTAGAGATGATTGGTAAATCCGGTTGATGAAAGAAACGTACCGACGGTATGTCCTTTCTCCTCGAAGAACTTGAAGAAAGTGTCGCGCACAGCGAGCCCAGTCCATTTGGGCTGGTCCGCCATGGTGGACAGAGTTCGCGATGCTCTCGGCGCGTGGGGTCGGGTGTGGACAGCGGCTCTGGATCGAGGAATTGAGGATAGACGCGTGCTTGGAAAGCTCCGCCGAGTACTCGTGATCGAGATTTCGTGACTCGATGTGTAGTTGGAGAGATGTGTCGAGGTAGGCGCGCAGGCAAATGCGATCTTCGTAGTAGTGGTGGTGGTGGTGTTTGTCTTTTTCTCTGTCAATGCGGGACAGTCATGAGGACGACCAAGGAGGGGCTCCGGCGCGGTAGCAGTTGCAGTTGCAGCTGCGGTCGCAGTGGCGGGGTACGGAGCATAGTGGTAACAGTGCAGTAGCTGTCTTTGCAGCCCCCCTGGCTCGCCTGAGAGTCGTTGTCCCCGGAGGCTGTAGAAACTTCTATGGGGCGGCGACCAAGGCCGGGAGTGACTCAGGCCGCCTATAAACGGCCTCCCTCGCCATCGGAACCGCATTCGCCCCCTTCTTTCAACACTTCCCACCCGTCGCTTCGGCTCGACTTGAGTTTGCTAAGCGTGTCTCTTGTATCAGATACGCATCACATTCCAGTCCAGTCGCACAGCAATTCTTACGGCTCCCTTATTCGTTACAGTGACGAGTCTACCTGGACAGTCACCTCGCAGGAGTCATAGCCCACTCCGATAGTCGCAGCTGGTGTCGCTTGGTCCGTCACATCGGTTGTCGCAAGGGAGAGGTGTGAGTTTTTGTGAGAGTGGAAGCAGGATTCGCGGCATCACGCGCATCGGGACGGTAATTCAGAAGCCTTCCAGGGGTACGCTAGCATGGATGCCCTCCAGCTCGGGCCAAGCAGCAGCAGCCCACTGTCGCCGTCCAATGGCCGACCCTTCAACGCTCATCAGCTTCATATACAGCATCCCACGTCGTTGCAGCAGAGAGACCCCTTTGCCGCCGCACCAATGCGCAAAACACGCAAGAGGAAAGCCGAGACGCAGGACAATGAGCGACTGTCCAAGAGATTGAGTCTATTGAACTTGGGTAGGTATCTTGTAGTGCTGTAGTCAGACTCACTCTTCGTCCCTTGTTTCTACATTGAGGCCGTAGACGCAGCAACGTTTCTCATCAAGGAATTAGCAGAAAACACTGACCGCATCTTGTTATTACAGAGAAAAATGGACAGAAGCTATATGTGCCAGTTGAGACTCCAACTCCAGAGTCGTCAGCACCGCCATCGAGCATTGCTGGTGGTGCGGTGACAGACGATGACATGCGACTCGACGACACCAAGCACAAAGTCTACATCTACGATATAGACGCCGAACTCTCTTCGACAGACGGCGAGAACAGCGAAAGCGAGTCTTCGCTTCCTGGTTCGCCTACCTCGGGCAAGGGACGCCTCGTCTTTCTTCCGGACATCGAGAAGCATCTGCGCCGTACTCGGATACCTGCTGCCGTGTTTGCCAACCCGGACGGCGAACTAGCGGGTCATAGCCTCAACGACATGCAAATGGTTTTATACCGGGACAGCGAGCCTTCCTCTCTAACCGTCGCGCCGGAAAACGACTCGGTACGTAAAGCAATTCTCGAAGCTCGCGCTCGAGCGAGAGAGAAGCAGAAAGAGAACGCGGTTGTCAGTTCGGGTAGTGAGGCCGGCATTCGAATAGATGAACCCAAGAGAATGGTCAGCACTTCCAACCCTGTAGCGGCTACGACACCGTGGCGCGAAAGCTCAATGGAAGACGAGGGCGACGCGATGGACATTGATTGAAGGCGATGCGTGGGACCCTGATAGGGATGACTGTATTGTTTCTCTTGTTTTCATACTTGTACAATCAGAGCATGGCGTTTTGGAAAGCAACAGAAGAGGGGGCATATGAGCCCTCGTAGCATGTTACAGGCAACATTCAGGAGCGCGCGGAGTTCACCGGTCAATCTGACCCCAGCTCGACTTCGGAGTCACCACTGAAGAGCAATGTAATCATATTAATCGACCATCATGATTCCCAGATCATCGTGAAATATTTGGCCAATGCAACGATTAGAACGGCCAGTAATGCCCATGACATTGGACTCACAAGAGGCAGCGGTGCACAGCCTTTTTTAATCACTTGCGTATATACCGCAAAGCTATCTGTACTGTCAAGGTACCTTATACCGTTGGCATGTGCAAGTATTTAGTGTGAAACAGACAGTACATCAAAAGGTTTTAATGGAACAACAGCGGCATGGATTCTGCACTTGCGTTGAGCCGGTTGAGATGTGAATGATAGACCGCCATCAGCACATGGCCTCTTGCTCCAACCGTGTCCTCGAGCAGAGCTGCGAAAATGCGCCAGGGAGAAGTATTGCAATAATCTTAGAGCATACCTACACAACGCGATCAAGAGCCAAACATGCATAGAATTATGGGAAGAAAGCCAATGAAATGATGCTTGTAAAAGAAAAGATGACCATTATCGGGCAAAAGGTAATCTTAATGATGCTGTAACGGCGAATCGAACGCCGGTCTCAAGCTTGGAAGGCTAGAATGATAACCACTACACTACTACAGCTGATTGGAGATGTTTGAATTTGTCTTATCGGTCTATATGTACGATTTGGAATCTGTGGGGCTCGAAAATGCTTAGGTAAAAACCAACACCTTCGGCTTGGCGAATGCGCCCGTCTCAATACTCCCGTGAGTCCCGTCCGGGCGCCGATATACATTCTCACCAACTAAATCTTTCGCTTTTGTTTTCTCAGCGCGCTGAAAGACCGGAGTAGTCCGGATAGCTAGCCCAAATAGTCAGTGGTTTACCAGTATTTACGGCTGCTGACTGGCTTGGGTATATCGAATATTCAATGTGAGGTACGCTCATTTGAGAGATTTGCGTGAATCAACGAATATTCGAAGGAGCTCGTTCGTCTTAAAGATCCCTGGCCCCACGTCAATTGAGTTCATATGGTGCATGGAGAAACGAGAGACGCTTCATGTTCTAGATTTCAGGGTATGATATCAGGCGTCTAGCGCGGCCAATAACGCTTTTTGATAACATTTTTGGTCTCTGGTGAGGTACCTTTCACGCGCGCAAGCTTAGGTGGGTAGTATCACATTAAGAAAGACCATTCAATCACACAACCGAGAAAATGTAAGGCAGCACGCCCATAAGGCTTCCACAGTAGTCAATTGGCATTGAGGAGAAATGGAGAACAGGTTGAGGTGTGAGGTAAGCTTTACCATTGTACAGGGGATTCCCAGGTAGCGTCGTGGATAAAGGAGTCATGCTTGGTTTAAATGAGGGTCTGGAATAGAAGTCTATTGTACAGATATTACAAACGGCCGACGAACTAAAAGGCAAGTCGTGGTCTTTTGAGAGGTAAGATACAGTGAGAATATTCTAATTTGATGAGACATATCGTGCTTGAGAAATTTGAGAAATAGCCCTGGTCGTGAGTTGTCGATCAACTTGGTGTTTGGTACGGGGGCTTCACGCACGTGGGCGTTGGTCTGACGCAGTCTCTCAATAAAACCACCATCCGAGATCTTTATATGTTGAGATCTGCCATCAATTGGCCGGCCTAAGCGACCCGTGATAGTATCGTATACCCAGATATTGATCGACTATTGTACAGTCGCAATAGGTCATATGACGGAGGTCAATAAGGTAGTCGATAGTCATGTTCGTCTGATGCGCAGATTCAGCGAAATAGGGAGAAATGAGCATCGTGTCGACTGTCGAGATTCTGTTGATCGATTGGGCTGCTGCGAAGTTGCTGCTTGTCTTCTAGGCCGTAGGTTGTAATTGTGACTTGGTCTGCCCGTGTTGCTCTGCGGCGCTGGAGCCTTTGTTGGCATGGTATGTCGTCGCACTGAACCTCCGTCCTCTTCTCCCATTTTTCTGGATCGAGGGCTTGGTCCTTGATGAGCGGTAGGTTCTGCCTCTGGCACGTAGTTCTCGAGTCAATATTGCTCTAATAAGCTGAAGTTGTGCTTCTCATACTTACGGTAGGGAGGGCGGGACAATTTGAAAGCATACACAGCAGGCAGAGCGATGAAGAGGTAGAACCCGATCCCAAGAATGAAAAAAGCGGTGCTCCAACAAGCCCTGGTATCATCTGGTGGTATCACAATGTTTGAACATGTAAAGTGAGTAGCGGATGACATGATATAGATTGTCGACTTGCTTAGTTGTGTAGCAAGGCAGCACCAATGATGATGGAAGAAGCATCGATGAGCGACCCAAGTCTTCTAGAAAGAAATAGAAGAGGAAGGTATTTATGTGTAACATGAAACATGGAGAACTCACGAGAGCCCTAGCTCCAGGCAGCCAGACTGTCACCCCAGTTCTGTAGCGCCAACAATTGGTGTGCTTCGAAGGCGCTGAACTGACCGCACTTCGTTTCGTACGCAGCTTGAGTCTTCATTCGATCCACCATTAGTCTTTCTGATGGCTGATTGGCTGAGTATGTGAGCTTCTGGACTCCATCTAACACGTAGCTCATTTCCTTACACCCTTTGAGATGAGGATGGTACACCGCGGGTGGGCGAGGAGTCTGTCACTCTTGCGCCCACCCCATTCTGGGTCGCGCCCGACAGTTTCTTGCCCACACCGGCCGTGTACCGAATGGTATTCAACGTTCCGCGGAGGGCGTCAATGTTTGGTCATGCCAAGTACCTCCTTGTGGCCAGTCCGAAAAGTATCGACAAGGTGTGGCAAAGGCAGCCTTGCTTGAGAGGTTTTGCATATCATGGTATTGGGGTTGGCAGATTCCAATAGAACTACGCCTCTGAAGGATATTTCGCACGAGCTGGAATCAAATTGTTGAAACATAAACTAAGAGTATTGCGTACTAGTGTTGCATACGATTAGCTGTGGTTGAAGTACAGGTCTGTTATTCCTGTTTTTTGTTGTTTCACAAGTTGTGATTTTTGGCACCCACCGGGCGACGCTGCAGCCTACCTGTGATTCCATTCATTTTACCTGATTGAACGCTGGGAAGGCCGATTCGTGGGCTTGACACATTTTGCGTCATGATCGTGGCCTGTCAAGAAGGGGGCTGAAGCGGCCATTCTGAGAGACCAAGCTGGTGTTGTTGGTGTTTCATGTGCAGGGAAAACGTATTGGTAGATGAGACTCATTTTAGGATTTCTCCACCTGTGCGTACCAAAGGTGTGAGGGCGTGATAGAAACATAGGAACAAGATGATGTGAGACGACGAGTGCCTGTACTCTGTAAGGTAGCTAATGACAATGTCACGACTCTATGGAGACCATTCCAAGATGAAATGTTCAAACCAAGGAATACTCCAGCTTCAGACCTACTAGGGCTCCCGGTGACCTTTCCTCCATGCCAGAGTATAATGATAATAATGAATAGCTGAGGTGCATTGTACTCGCGCGAAGTGTACTCTCAAAGCGAGTGTCCAGACAAACGATTTGCTAACTGGGAAGACACCAGCACAACAACGGGTCCAGTTAAAACACAGTGATCCTGGTTCTCTGCGGACCGAGCTGAAGAGAATCTAGAACGGATTTAGGCCAAATGAGAAAACTTATGAAAACTACGATAGGGCGTGAGCCTGAAGGCTCATCGTGTCAGGTTGGGGAGTGTATGTAACAAGAGTTGGAGGATTCGAGCCGTCGTCACGGCTCGATTGATGCTGATGACTATGATGAGGAGCCCGGTTTAATTCCTCAATCTATTTTAAACAATATTTTCGTTATTCTCAATTACAATGGCGCCAAACCCGCTGCCTTGCAAGATTTTTGGGCTGTTGGTCGTAAAGGAGGGTGGCCAATTTGGAGGTGGCCAAGTTGGAGGTCGCCAATGAACAGATAAATTGGGGCAAGGATCACATGCATCCACCCCCCAACATTCAACACAAGGCAGATTTGCAGTTCGATAAATCTTCCTAGAATTCTAGAAATCAGCTATAAATAAACAGATTTTACACTCTACGTCTCCTAGCTCATCATCTTCCGTGCTTGCAATCTCACTTAAAGGCATTTATTGTTACGCTTAAGGGGTTATACACAATCTCCCCTTATTGTCACAGTTCTAATTACTGGTAAGGGTCTAGTAATAACTATTGTTATTATGCGAGAAAGGAAAAAGAAGCTATTTAAATAGAGGTTAAAAAGCGAGATTATATATATTGTATTAAGGCTATATTGCGGCCTATACGCGGTTTAGTCTAGCGTTTTATAATAATACCCCGGTTTAAAACCTATAATTGTTTTTAATTACGTATAAAACCACTTTTTATCGTAAAGCTTTCGATAATTAAAATAAATGCTTATTATTAAAATTAATAGTATTTATTGTTTTTAAACGGGTCGAATTAACGCAACCGATTTTGCTAAGTTTTACCGCTTTTACGTTAATACGTCGTAATATATACGCCGAGATTACGGCTTTAATAAAGCGAACTAAATTAACGCGGCCGATTTTATTAAATTATACTGCTTTTTCGTTAATAAAACGCGTTTTATTTATTATTTATAAATATTAACGTTATTTTGCCTTTATATTATTAGTTTTTTACGTTAATATTACCGCTTTGTTTTATTATTGCTAATTTTATCGACGTTTTTTTATTTTTAAAACATTTATTTTAATTAATTTATTTACTACGTTTTGCTTTTTCGCTAACGTAGTTATACCGCCGGTTTTTTTTCGTTTCGTAAGCTTTAACGCTTGTTTATATTACGTTTGTACTATTTTAAAAGCTTACTACGTATAACCCGATATAAACGAGCTTTTCGTAATTTTATATTATTATAAAGTTATTAATATTACGCGTTACGATTAATATATTCGCCGTAAAAATATTTATAAAAAAGTAAATATATTTCGAGTTAATAGCGTATTACCGCCGTATTACTAAACTTTATTAATAATTATAAATTGTTTTTATTATATTTAATAACGGCAAAAATACGTTCCGCTTTTTACGCTAATTTAAAGCTTTTTAAATTAAAAACTAAAACGGTATTAAAAATAACGATATTAAATTTTAATTTAGTAAAAAAGTTCGCTATATAATTAAAAACGTAGCGGTCGCGTTTATAACGGTTTTTAAAAACGTTGAAAAAAAAATCCGTAAAAACTACTATTTTGCCGGCGTTATTAAATAAAAAACTATAAGTTTTATTACGTTATTGCCTTTTTTTCGTTATTGCTATTATTAATTTTTAAAATCCTAAGTTTACCGCTAAGTTTTCGTAATTTTTAAATCGTTTTGCCGTATTTTCGCTTTTTTTACCGTTAACCGCTGTTTTTAAAATTTTGCTTTAAAAAAAAAAAAAAAGGCCTATATTAATATTTATTTACTTTGCTTTTTCGATAAAAACTATAATAAAACTTTTTAGCTATTAATTAAATAAAATTTTAAAAGCGTTATTATTATAAGCAATTTATAAAAATAGTAATTCGGTTATAATTTGTTAATTTTTCGCGTAAATAGTTATTAAAGCCTATATAGGCAATAACGTAAATAACGCTAACGTTATTAACGTAATATATTAGTTTTTTTTTTCCGATATAAAAATATAAGCTTTACGATTTATTAC